TTCCAGCGCTAGCATTGGGGTATTCACAAAATTGCCCATTTAATGATTTAGAGAAGCCGACAAGAAGGAGGCTAGGCCTGCCAAACGTTGGTGAAGGTTAGGTCTTGGTTGTGGTTCAAATCAACAGATCACTGATCAACTGGCGGCACCGCTCCGTGTGGTAACACGAGGCATGCCGGCAGTTTACGGCGGCGGAATCCGAGGTCGTGTGCTTCGTCGAGCCTTGGTGCAAGGTTGAATAATATCGTATGGCAGCCAAAAATAATATCTCCTCTCAGTTCGAGATGGACGTTGATGGGAGTTGATGTGCCCTGCTTAACGGTGTAACTCCTCAACACACAAGCCCCGAGGAGACCCAAATTTAATTCCGTGGAGGCATTGTATGTATTCCCGTAATCTGGTCGAAGGGATTTGCTCTAATGTCCCTAGTCATTCCAATACAAAATCTTTTTGTCTGTTTCGCCGGATAAGGAGATTTCACGTGATGTTTGTCGAGGGTGGATGGGGTGCACCTTACCAGATTTATTCCAAATTGCTTCGATGGAAAAAAAAAACCGACCTCCACCTAGTGGCTCGGGCTGAACATGCTTCTTCTGCTTAGCGCTTAACCTTCTCGACGACAGAGTGCAGATGTGGACCACCCACAACCGAGCCTTTCATCCTTTTACCTACCCCTGGTTAAACATTTTACGCACCAGAAATATCCCATATTGCTTCACAACAAAAATGTAATGACCTCTTCCGGACTCAGGCCCGATTCGAACAGACTTATTCCGCTGAATCTTTTGCCCCCATTTCAGAGGGAGAGCAGATGTGGACCACTCACCAATGAGCCTTCCTATCCTCAGCTTACCCTTGGTTTTATGCACGAGAATTATTGCAAAGCTTCAAGGCAAAAATTAATGACTCCTTGTGGCTCGGGCCTCAAGCCTGAATCAAACGGGCTCTATCTGCTTGACTTTGTTTCTTATGTTTTATGGAATGTAAATGTGGACCATCCACCACCGAGCCATTATTACCCCATAACTGCACCTCCTTGTCGCAAAAGTCCGATTTCAGTTATAACCTGAGATAGGACCTTTCTGAATCTTATAGGGAAAACAGGTGGGTCTATAACTACTAATAAGCCCTTATAACTCCGCCTGTTTTGCCTGTAAGATTCAGAAAGGCCCTATCTAAGGTTATAACCAAAACCGGGCTTTTGCGACACTTTTGTCCCATAATTGTTCAACGACTGGACAAAAGCCTCAAATTTCATTTATGGCCTGGGCCCGAATCGAACAGGCTCTATCTGCTTGACAGGTATCATCATTACCGACAGATCACAGATGTGGACCATCCACCACCAAGCCTTCCTTGCTCTTTGCTGCTCCCTAGTATATCATATTGACTGGGCGGCTCGAGATTGACAAAGACAGCGGTAAATTTATCAGGAAATCCCTGGATTTTCGTCATTACCTGAGGGTGAAAACTCCGGACCACCGGCGCGCCTTAGCCCGCATGGGCCTATCCAGTCATAGTCTCGCTGTGGAATGCCGTAGATGGAAGGAACGGGGCAAGAACACTGTCCCCCGGGAGTGGCGCATATGCAGATTTTGCCAAGGATCTGTTGAGGACCCTGCCCACGCCATGTTCGTCTGCGACAATCCGGAACTTATGCAAGTGCGAGAGGCCTTTCTGCTGGACTTATACGACAAGGTTCCGGAGTTCAAGAGCGAATTCACGGATGCGATGAGCTTATTTAAAGCGGTCCTCGCAAAGAGGGAGGTAACACCTGGTCTGGCAAAACTGGCCTTCAACGTGTTGAAGATTTATGATACATCACCGATGCTGCTGTTGGAACCACCGGCCAACATTTGAACCCGCATTTCCGTCGGGTCTTTGCTGGCTCGTGCAGGTTGAGCAGCCTTAGGGCTGCTCCTTGCTGCAATATTTGCGTGGGGAAGACCTCAGGGTCCTCCCCTCTGCATCGTTTCCTCGGGGACAATGCCTACGACCCTTGGGTTTGCTCTTTGAGCAGATCTGAGCGGTTGTTGCATGCTTTCTGCAAAGGGAAGACATATGTCAACTTTCTGTGACTGGTGGACTCCGGGGATTTATGCTGGGGAGGAGAGAACTCCGAACTGGTGCACAGCTTTTATCCGGAGGTCCTGCCTTTAAAGGTCGGCCAGTCCACGGTTAGCGAGCGTCTTATATGATCAACCCCCTGGAATGACTGTGTGCTCGGTTGGCGACTTGTAGAATTCTGTAAGGATAACCACCCTCTACAGTACTACATGTTTGTCTTTCGTAAACTCGTTGTTCAGCCTGTGGACCACGCGAGTATAATATATCCCCCCCCCCCCCCCCCCCAGACCATTCTTTTGAATTGTGTTCTGCGGAGACAAAACCTTCTCGGATTCCGCTAATGGCTCGGGCCTGAATCGAACAGGCATTATCTGCTTATCTCCCTTGGAAGTTAGAACGAGACCATAGGGTGCAGATGTGGACCATCCACCGCCGAGCCTTTCCTTCCTTGGTTTTATGCACCAGATTTATTCCAAATTGCTTCAAGAAAAACTTGAAAAACCATGAATGACTCGGGCCCGAATCGAACGGACTCCTTCTGCTCAATTTTCTCAGACTGATATATAGAGTGCAGACTTGGACCATTCACCACCGAGTCTTTCCTCCCTCTGCCTACCCTTCATTTATGCACCAGAATTACTCCAAATTGCTTCAAGGCAAAAAATCCAGTGAGCTCTGATGAATGGCTCAGGCCCGAATCAAACGGGTTCTTCTGCTTAACTTGTTGTGTTTTGGCGTCATAGAGCGCAGATGTGGACCACCCACCACCAAGCCGTTCTCATCCTCTGCCTACCCTTTGTTTTATGCACCAGAGTTACTCCAAATTGCTTCAAGGGAAAAAAATTGTGACATTCTCTGCATGGCTCGGGCCCAATTCGAATGGGCTCCTTCTGCTCAATTATTTACACCCCCACTTATAGAGTGCAGATGTGAACTAACCACCACCGAGCCTTCCTTAACCTCTACCTACCCTTCGTTTTATGCACTAGATTTATTCCATACTGCTTCAAGGCAAAAAATCCGGTTGGCTCTTATGAATGGCTCGGGCCTGAATCGAACAGGCTCCTTCTACTTGATGTTATTCATCGTGGTCCGTAGAGTGCAGACGTGGATTATCCACCACCAAGCCTTCCTATCCTCTGCTACTCCCTCTTATATGTCGGACATTGTCTTTGAATTGTGTTGTGCAGCGACAGAAAGCTCTCAACTCCTCTTATGGCTCGGGCCTGAATTGAACGGGCTTCTACTGCTTAACTTAATGAACACACCCTCCATGGACTATAGACGTGGACCACCCACCACCGAGCCTTTACTCCCTCTGCCTACCTTGTTTTATGCACCGGAGTCATCCCAAATTGCTTCACAGCAAAAATGCAGCGACCTCCAGTCAATGACTCGGGCCCGATTTGAACGGGCTTCTCTGCTTAACTGTACCCTTCATGAATTCTAATGGAATGTAGATGTGAACCACTCACCACTGAGACCTTGCATACCCCACAAAGTAGTCTCAATTAATTCTATGCGAGGATCACTCCGAAGGGCGGGTACTGAGCAAAAGGTTTACCTGTGCTTCGACAGCATGGCTCCGGCCCAAATCGAACGGACCCCATCTGTTTGACTCTGCTTCTCCACAACAAGCCTAGAGTGCAGTTGGTTGCGGCCCACCAAGCCTTTCTTACCTCACACCTACCCTCTGTTTTATCGATTATTTGGGATTGTGCTGAGCAAAATGAATGATATCATATGGCTCAGGCCTGAATTGAACAGACTCCTTCTGCTCAATTTTCGGATGCCCATATGTAGAGTGCAGATGTGGCCACCCACCACCGAGCCTTCTTTGCCCTCTCCTGGTCCTATCATATCCCGGGCAATTTCTTTGAATTCCGTCCTGTGGAGTCAAAAAGTCCTTTTCATATTCACCATGGCTCGGGCCCGATTCGAACGAATTCCTGCTGCTTCACTTAGTTGGAACACGTATATAGAGTGCAAATACGGACCACCCACCACCGAACCTTCCTAACCTCCACCTACCCTCCACTTTATTGATTCTTGAGATTGTGTTGTGCTGACCGAAACAGCATGAAAGGAGGTTATGGCTCGGGTCCAAATCGAACAGGCTCCTGCTGCGCAAGTTATTGTTACTTAGCATATAGAGTGCAGATGTGGATCACCCACCATGGAGAGCTGTTTTATCCTCTCCTCCCCTTGGTTTTATGCACCAGAATTATTCCAAATTGCGAAAAAATCGTGAACACCAACATACGGCTCAGGCCCGAATCGAACAGGCTGCTTCGGCTTAACTCCAGCTAAAAATACATATTTGCCCTCTCCTGTTCCCGCCTAAATCTCAGATGATTCTTTTCAATTGTATTGTGTGGAGGCAGAAACTTCTCAACTCCTCTTATGGCTCGGGCCCAAATTGAACAGGCTTCTTCTGCTCGGCACTCTTCCCTGAACTCCATATGGTACAGACATGGATCACCCACCACCGAGCCATTCATGCCTTGCACCTGCCTTCTGCTTTAGCAATTATTGGGATTCTGTTGTGCGGAGACAAAAACCTAGGAAATCAACACACATAGCTCAGGCCCGAATTGAACAGTCTCCTTCTGCACAAGTTCCTCTTTCACTAAATTGTAGAGTACAGATGTGGATCGCCCACCACCGAGCCTGTCTTATCCTGCCTGGCATCACCTTTGGTTGTACACACCGGAACTATTCCAAGTCGCTTCAAGCCAAAATGGTGAGTTCCGACTAACGGCTCGGGCCTGAATCAAACAGGCTCCTTCTGCTTGTTGTATAATATCTTCGGCGCTCATAGAACTCGAATGTGGATCATCCACCGCCAAGCCTTTCTAACCTATAACTACCATTCGTCTTATTCATATGCCGTAATTGTTCAAGGACCGGACAAAAAACACGACACCGACTAATAGCTCAGGCCCGAATCGAACAGGCTTCCCCTGCACTGAGTTTTAATACAGCCCCATAGAATGCAGATGTTAACCGTCCACCACTGAGCCCTTCCCACCCTCTAACTGCCCCTCATTATATAGGAGATTTCTTTGTAAACCATTTAGAGGCTGAGCAAAAGATCGTTCTCAACGGTGCATGGCTCAGACCCGAATCGAATGTCGCAAAAATCCCTTTTAAGTTATATGCTTGTACAGGAGACTATAAGGTCGTATAAGCCTGTAAGATTGAGGAGGGGTCTATAAGGCTCGAAATGCCCCTATCTATATGTATAAGTAGTTACGGAACTTATAGCACTTATAAGTGCTTAAGCCATTTATAGAGGGTTATAACTACTCTGGTGGCGGCCCAAAAAAAAAAATTGCCCGCCGCTCCACCACCTCACCTACTTATGAAACAGTGGAGAAGACAAATGATATTGGATTGCAAAAAAATGTAGGGTACATACATCAGAGGTACGAGAATGGACCGGGGGGATATTAGGACCCAACAGCGGCGGCCCATCGGTGGCGTCGACGCATGACGAAAGTTAGACCTGCAAAAGAGTCACTGAACGGATGGATGCTTAGGAAAGTGGATACTCACACAAAGTTACAGTACAGTCGAATAGAGCACTTATTGGATAGTTAGTGGAGAGCAGTCCTGAGGGAAACACGACGCACGGAGAACTCTCGAAGTCCATCGCGGTGGGTGCATCAACGAAAGGCATCGGCGAGGATGGGGGTCGAGGTCATGTCCGTGGCGGTCTGTAGGCGGAGGGGGTAGCGGTCATCGGTGGCGGCCGTCGATGGCGGGTGGGATACATGGGGAGTAGGGCGAAGGTAGTGGTTGGAGGAGAGAGAGGTGGAGACACGGTGTCACGGTGCTGCGGAATATATACGTGAATGACATCATTTACTCCACTCACTCCACTGCTGCCGCACGTTGGCCGCACGCTTCCCCGCAACTCGAGCACACTCACCAGCGACCCAATGCCTCCAAATCTTCGCCGCCTAGACTTTGATATGACACACGTCTCCAATTCCGAACCCGAGCGTGAAGCTCGCCGTCGCGCACGCCGCAATTCCCACTCGTCGATTGCCTCCTCCGCACCCAACTCGCCTCTGCCCCACCGCATGCCGTTGTCGGTTGTCTCGAATACTTTGCCGGTCGCTGAACCTGCGGAACAGCGTGCTCTCGACCGCCGCCTCTCGGCCTTGGAAGGAGATCTTGCGGAGATTAAAGTCAATTTTATCTAGACGATGTAGCAGACTTCGACTGGTTATTACGAGCCGGAAATTAATATTCAACCATGTAACGGTCTCAAAGACGAGTTGAAATAGCGATCCAGGGGAGGTTTCGCGGCAGTAAAGATATAGCGCAGGCGGTTTTAATACAGATACACCTCTTAGCGGAGTCAATATCGTGGCGGACTGAAACTGACTTCGCTATGAATATTTAAAAGCAGCTAGCGGGGCATCAGGCGAAGACTTCACCTTCTGAACCAAACAAAGCCAACACTCAACTCCGACAGGGTCTCAGTGACGACTTATAGAATAGGCAGTTACAAGCACCTATAAACGGGCTGTAACTTAGCTATAAGCCAGCTATAAGTACTTATAAGGGGCCTATAACTCTGTAAGCCTTCCTAACCCCTTATATCCCAAAAGCGACTTTTGCGACAAACTGCTTGTGATCCAATGACGTCAGCCTCCTATAGATAACAGACGCGGACCATCCACTACCGAGCCTTCCCAGCCTGTACCCACTACTAATCATCTCCTTTCACAAGTTGAACTGTGTCCGCATGAGCGGAAACTGTCAAGTTCATTTCGAGCGAAAGTAGGAGGCAAAAACGACAGCTCTACAAAAAATACTCTTAACAATGTCCCCTACTCGATATCTCCCCGATGCCCGCGCCGTTGACAACACAAGGTCAACGCCTACCGCGAGCGCCATCCCCTCGCCGACGTCCTCGAGCAGCGACCCATTTGCCTCTGCGCCGCCGCCATACATCCCGAACTGGATCCCAATTGCTGTCCTGATCCTCTTTAGATGCGGTATCCTCGGGATGGTGTACTGGGCGTACAAGAGCTCAGCTGGGAAGTTCCCCTCCTCCAAAAACGTGCGTCGCTATTCCCTTCCCCTCCTCACGTCTGACTTGTTTCCGTCCGCAGATTTTCAAGGAGGGCATCGCCGCCCAAAGCGCGCATCCTAAACTGGGCGCGCGCGGGCAGAGTCAGAAGTCCCAGCTCAAAGCGACTATCTCTCGCCCCACTTCTGCGCACACCGCTGCGCCCGGCCCCGGCTCAGTGGCCGCGGTATCGCGCTTCGCGGACACAACCTCGCTTACCAGCGAGCGCCGCACTGCCCCAATGCTGCAGCGAATGGATGTGCCCTTGCCTCCCAGTTCCGGAGGGTGCTGGTAGAGCGCCCGTTAGTCAGTGCGCGGTGCAGGACACCGAGGTGCGTTTCTTTCGTCCTTGTTTGCAGCGAATCTCGCGCCGACTTCAATTTTTCCAGTACTGGAAGGAAAATTCAGCGTCCACGATGCCCGCAGAAGATTCGGGTCAGCGAGACGGCCGTATGCAACGGCTAGCTTACTGTCGCGCGACCCACCCATACCTCGCGCGTCGCGTCGTATTCGAAGCCCATTATCTATTCACTCGCAATGGACGTTCGCGGATGTTCCGGCGAGCAAGATTCACGGTAAGTTCGCCCCGCGTTCAACTACACGAATGTGATGCTGATTCGGGTCTCCAGAGAAACGCAGCAGAAAATTGATAACTTGATAGTTGCCAGAGGCATTTGAACCGATGAGCGAAAAGAGTGGATGGTTAACAGCACAGGTTAGGCAGAGAGCAGGGGAATCTGAAGGAACGCATCGCCGCGAGCTGTTTTTTATGTTTCGGGGAACGACTACGTGGCCGCAGTTCAATGAACGTGTCGTTCTGTGCCGCAGTGAGAAGATTTTACATTTGCTACGACTTGAAGTTGTGTATGCCATGGTACTCGTTCCTCTCGGGCTCAACAGTCCAGATGCAGATTAGATCGTAGTTGTCCCGTACTTAGTTTTTAGAGAACACAAATTGTGGGAGGGTGAGAATACGAACTTCAAAAGGGGATTGAATGTGAAGCCGTTGTCTGTTTATGCAAAGAGACCGAATCGGGTTTTGTACAGATTACTATGTTCGAATGCGTTGCGCAGATATCTAAAATCCAAACATCCCAGTTTCGGCAACGGAATTCCGCTGCTGATTGCCATACTGCCCACCAAATATGGAGTTCGAGGCCACCGGAGTGTCCGGCGCTCCCCGCACTTCCAACTTCCCCTGGAACGTCCGCAACACCGCGAGCTGCTGTTAAATCCACCTGCTCCCATCGTCAGTGCAGCCGAATATGCGGACTTTCTCGATACGATTCCGGCGTGGAATAGTCCGGAGGGTTTCAAACACTTTCGGCAAATGCTCATCCGATCCGCAGAATATATGGAGGAATTCGAGGCGAGTGTATGGAGAAAGGTCGATAGCGTATGTGCCCTGTGAACGCAAAGTGAGGAATATTATTAGGTGCTTTCGGGCGGCTGCAAACGGGCACACGCACACGCCGTGCATCGATTTCGAGCAGTTCGAGTGTCTTCGCCGCTGCGATGAACGCAGGGGCATGCAGAAGGCCGGAGTTATTTCCTAGGTGCAGGGCTCTGAGGTGGGAGAAGTCGAAGGCGCAGCGGTCTGATGCTAGCCAGCGGACAATACCCCGGGAGCCCCTAACCTTTAAAGATTCGATCTTGAGTGGAGCGGCCAGCATCGGAGCCAGGAGGCTCGAGTCAAGCCCTGGGCATATGAGCTCAATGCCCTTGACACTCGGCGACAGGCGTTTCCAAATGTGTTGGAATATGCTCGGATCGCCGTACTATCATTGTCCCCCTTTTGACAGCGGCAGTGATGGCGGTCAATATAATATTTTCCCCCAAGTAGAATTTCTCCGGCACGTAAGGATAGGGCCATTAGCATGTATCCTACACCCTCAAATATTTTCGTGTTTTTAAATTGCCTCGATGTAAAGATATTGACGTCCCGAGGGTGGGACACCATGTGGTAGCGAGTTTCGGTTGTATTTGGCAGGGTCACAAAGTGTCACAAAATCAGCCTTTCGATTTATTACACCGGCTGTAGACCAAGTATGAGTACACGATTTTGCCAGAGCGTGGGCAGGATATGGACACACCTCATATCTTTTTACTGGACCAAACTGCGAAGAACTGAGCTTGCCATCACTAGAACTACCACATCGGGGTGCACTGTCAAAGGGGGGCCAATGATAGTACCATCAGCGGATCTGGACATATTCAAGGCTCGGGAGGGACAGGAGCTGTTTCATCCCTGCCACCAAAGCGAGAGTGAGGGGCCGCAGACTGAGTATGCGGAGAGTCCGCAGCTTCGGGAACGGGAGCTTTAAAAGGGCCGCAAAGTTCTCCGGGGATAGAGCTTCTGGATAGAGCTCGAGACATAGAACGAACCGGCTGAGATGCGGTGAGGTCGAGGTCATCTCCAGGAACCGGGAGCACCGTTGGTTTAAGCAGGGTAAGGGTGTGGTGAGAGGCCATTGTAAGGATATGAAGATATTCCTGAAGAGGTGGGATTGAGCGGCATATGTCCAGGAGCGGCTAACCACGGCGCAGGCTGCTAGATCTGCTGTGGATTCTTGCAAATGACTTATGCAGTCACTGAGGAGTTCTGGGACATTCAAGGGAGACATTGCGAGAAGGAAGGGATGGGTGACGTCGTCGCCAGCGCACAGACCGATCCAAACAGGACCATCTAACGTCCTATCACGTGCACATTCGCGTCCCTGTCGCGTCTTGGTCGCGTCGACGCGTTCCTTCAAGTTCTTTTTTTCTCTTAAATTTCTATGATATCCTACCACGTGCAATGTTCTAATTTATAGGGCTTCAAACCGTCTTTTTACGTAAAATTATCATTTTCGTTTTTTTGTGTTGCCCTTTAACTTCTGACTAGTGAGTTATAGGTGGCGAGAAGGGAATTAGGTGTCCCCCAATTGGTATTGAAAA